AATTAAATTAATGTAATCTCTTATGTGATTTTTATTATTATTTAATTTAATATAATATATGGTTTTTTTTTTTATTTTACTTCGTTTGCATATGATGTATAATTTAAGAAAAATGAAAGGAAAACGTGCAATGTGTATGGTAGTCTAACCAAACTCAGAGAGAAGTCAAAAAAGCAAGATCATAAAATATGGTAGAGCAGATATTCTCTTACCCAATTGAATTTAGTTTGTCTTCATCACAAGTGTCACCTGCCCTAAGTTGACTAAACTGCTATCCTACTTGTAAATTGCGTATTTCTATATTACTCATGGCAATTTTCTTGTTAGCAATAATAGAATTAGCCTATTTTTAAATTTAAATGTTTCTCCAATTAAATTAAAAATTTTTATCCCCCGAAATTAACTTATCTGTCTTGTTATGTGCTGGAAAATGAAGTGGTAGAATAATGAGGGAGGTGGTGAAGACAGAGGGTAGGAGATTATTATCATTGACAACCATAAAATGCTCACACCACTTCACTTGGGCTTTAAACTTTTAACTAAGTCATGATTAACGCAACCACCGAGGCAATGTATATGGTAGTTTATATTCCCAAAAAAAAAAAACTTATATCTTGTGCTATAACATTCGTTTTATTTATTTTTTTTTTTAAAAATCAAACAGTTCTGATTTAAAATGGAAAAAACAAATAAAAAAATAATTAAAGTTAGTGAAAAATGAACCAATTTCTTTTAATTAAAAAATATATACATTTTTCACTCAAATGATATACGTATTTCAAATTATAATATAACAAAAATAATTTTTAAATAAAAATGCAGATAAAAATACAATCAAATTTAAAATTACAATTTCTTGTAGAGAAGAAACATACCCACTACTAATTTAAATAATATTTAAAGAAAGAGAGCCAAATTGTGTCCAATATCAGTTAGCTTGACTTACAGTTTCATTGAATTTAACTTTTGACGGGCATCATGTGGAAAGAGTAAATTCAGGCTTGATTCATTCTAAATTCCCCTAATACATGGATTGTATTGAAGTTTGAACATAACTTTAAATTCAACAACAACAACAAAAATTAATATTTTATTATTTATACTTTTTAGTTTTTATCGAACCAAATAATTTATTTGTTAGTGTATGATGACTGCCTCAACTTTTAATAGTCGAAGAATTTGTTTGTTTGTTTTTATTTTTTTTAAAATAATTTTATTTTATATGTGAATTTTAATTATTGATTAATTATAATTCACATATTTAATTTAATGGCATATCGTATTAAATTAGTATACATTAAAATACCATTTAGCACATAAATTAATCAAATCTTTTCATTAGATTAGAACTAGTTATATAATTAACTTAAAATTAAAATATTACTAATTTTTAAAATTTATAAAATTAATTTATACTCTTATTATTTACATTGTATGGTGATGGTTTTTATTTTTTAAAAATTCAAACATGAACTAATTCAACATTATTCTTGGCACCATATAAAACACAATTTTGCCAGTTCTTTTTCAAAGATTCGAATTAATATTTTATTATTTTTAGTTCAAATATTAATTTTTTAATGAAAAAGCCAAAATATTTGATATTTCACATGAGTCTTTAGTCAAATTAAAAATGGGTTTCTCTGAACAAGGGAAGAAAATAAGAACTGAAATTTGAGGATCCAATCAGTTTGTGCCAAAAACAAAAAGAAGACAGACAGAAAAGGGTCAGAGCCAGCAAACAAGTGAATGGTCAACTTTTGAGTGGCCTGGACAATCAACTATTACCCAACACCTGCCACTAAACAAGGAGAAGCATATCCTCCTCGTTACCTACTTGTTCCTTACCGTAAAACTTGCTATTAGAGAATTCATTTTCAAGACTATATGATTAAATTAAAACATAATTTCATTGAAATTTAAAAAAAAAAAAAAACAAAAAACAAAAAAAGCTTAAAACTGGATTTAATCATCCAACAATAAGTGCCAAACTGCGAAAATCCTGCCAAGTTAACAGCCACTGACGGGTCATTACTTCACAGGACAATACAATATCATGAAAACGGTTATGAATTCCTGTAAATTAAACTCTACGCATAATTCATTCCACAGACAGTGATACTATAGAGGTTGAAATTCTATGCAAACAGGATGCTTCCAAATTCATTTGTTGACAAGAATTAATCATATCCTATTCTAATTGTAATACCGAATTCATCTCACACACTAAGGCAATGTGAAATTCCTGCTGCAGTAACTATGATCATGGTAAATCAGAGAGTAGATTGGATAAAGTAGAAAACAGACATTTATCTTCCGGGAAGATTCCCTGATACACCAAGACGAAAAGTTAAAAAGATGATGGGCAATAAACTAAATTTGTGAAACTATAGGTGAAAAAGCAGCACAGTTGAAATCTTTAACAGCAACCAAAGTAGGCAATAAAGTTCCATATGAACGCAATCAATAGCCAAAGTTACTCTGCAAGTAAAATCAAGAACAAGAAAGAAGAAGGAAAAGAATGAAGATCATCTAAATCTATCATATTTGTAGATCATTAAATTGAAGGAGAAGGCTATATCACCAGATCACATCATACAGGAACCTTTCTAAAGCTACAGCTCCTAGGTAACATATGCCGAGTATTATGTTGGAATAAATAAAGAAAATTTATGAAATTCATTTGCTAATCCACGCTTAGTTTAACTAAAAATTATGAGAATGATCATTTAACCTCATATAAAATTTAATATAGAATCTATTACACAAACACTTATCTTCCACCAAAATTTTACACCTTCTCAAAGTTTAACTAAGCGTGGATTTATAAATAAATCCTATTAAATCTTTAAATTTGTTCCAATATAGTCTAAGTTTTCTTCCTTCTTTCAAGACATGGAAAACCAATTTTGACGGAAGGTTCTAACCAGAGCCTAAATTGTCCAATCAGATACTGTTACAACCAAAGACTCAGGTGAACATGGTGTTAAAACATGTTGCAAGCATGATACCTACCCAATAAGATGGAAAATACTTGTAACTTCAGGTGATGCAAAAAAGAGCTATCGAATTAATTATCGTTTTATGCTAAACTTAGTTAGTCATAATAGATTAGTACATAAAAGGAAAAATAGTCGAAAACAGGCAACCAGGAGGCAACACATACAGTCAGTAGCCACAAAGAGGAAAAAAGAAGACTCTACAACTTGGTAAAATTTAGAGAAAATCCCATATATTCGAGCAAACACATGGAAGAAGACACAGGACCACAGCGTCTGACATAATTTTTAAG